ATATTAGGTATGCTAATATATGTGCACTGGAGGATTGTGGGAGGAACATCTAGCCCCTGATGGGGGTCCTGTGGGGCACCCCAAAACACTGAGGAGCTCTCCTGGCCTCTTTCAGCACTGGGGCTGTGCAACCCTGTTCTGATCAGGAGGTGCAGCCAGGCGGTCACCATGCCTTTTGAGGGCAGGGCACACAAAGGGCCAGGAGGCTTAGGGGCCATTCAAACTCAGACCTGGCAGGGAAGACACCATTCTTGTAAGAGTGGTTTTCCCAGGGTAAGGCTCATCTATTGTACTTAAGATGAGCTGATCCCTGTGATTTCCCCAAATGTGGGAAAATCAACTGCCTAAATGGGGGACTATGTTTCTGTTTTCCCCTGGTTTTTATAAAATCACTCCTTCCCTTTGGTCCTTGGCTATTTGCATTGCTTGCTGCCATAGGCCTGTTTGCCTTGCTGGTTTTCCAGTTGAGCTGCAGGGAGCAGATCTTGGAAAGCGAGCAGTGCAGAATACTGAGGTCTGAACAGCAAGCAGTCTCTGCTGCCAGTTCAGAGGCCTCCTGGCATGGCAATGGGAGGCTTTTGGGTGGTGGCGGCTGAAGCCTGGGTTATTGCATTCACTCCATAAGATGCATGTACTTTCCCTCCCACCTTTTTGGAGAGAAAAATACGGTAGAATTGTCAGTGTTTCTTCTCGTATAACTCTTAGAGAATTGACAGCTTGTGTCAAAGAAATTTACAGTGGTGCCTCGCAAGACAAAAGTAATTCATTCTGTGAGTAGTGTCGTATTGCGAAATTTTCATCTTGCAAAAGCGCGGTTTCCCATAGGAATGCATTGTGATGCATTCCTATGGGAAACCTCGCAAGACGAACAAATTATTTTTGTCTTGCAAGGCATCGCTCTCGCGGGGGGAAAATCATCTTGTGAAGCACGGGCATAGAAAAAGCCATCTTGCAAGTCACCACAACAATCACAAAACACTTTTGTCTTGCAAGTTTTTCATCTGGCGAGGCATTCATCTTGCAAGGCACCATTGTATCAGATGAAACCTTTCCTCCACTATGGAGATACAGCAATTGATCAGTTTCAGCTCATGCATTTTTGTTTGTCATATAGTTGTTGAAAAATGGCAAATCTAGGTGTAGTGGATACTCTACCTACATATGGTTTCAATGTGACAAATCCAGAAATTCAAATAAAGAACACTTAGACCATTGCAGGAGAACTTCCAGTTTGTTAGTTGCCCTTGGAAAACAAATTTAACTTTCCTCATATTTCATTCTTGTAATCTCTACCTGTAGGGGAGACTATATTTATTAATGATGTCCCAAATAGTTGATTCCTTTAAAGGTATATTTTGGCTGTACCTGTCAGGTATGTTTGCTCACGCAGCTCTTTGATGCTTAGTAAATCTGCGTTTTGTTGCTGACAGCTTTTTCTTGCTTGGAACCATGTAAGAGCTGAATCTGAATTGATCTGGTAGAGATCTCCTGTCCACTGGTTTCTGGTCCAGAAGAATTCACCATGATCATCTACAAGAATTGATAAAATTAGTGTCACATCATGAAATCACTGGTGGTAGAGCTAAATCCAGCAATGAGCTACTGTTGGTTCCAGCTACAACTTTTCTAAAGAATTTACAAATCAATTTCAAGAAACAAAAAAAATAAAATACCAGCACATTTTTATATTGGACAACACTGATTTAATAGTCATATTTACTTACTTACTTACTTACTTACTTACTTACTTACTTACTTACTTACTTACTTACTTACTTATTTGATTTATTTGATTTATACCCCGCCTATCTGGACTATTGTTTTGTTTCTTTGGATTTTTTTTTAATTTTGTTGTCCTCTTCCCTGAGATACATACCATGATTAAGGGAGGATTATAAGTGTTCTAAATGAATACGTATAAAAATAAATCATACTCTTATGCACATGCTACATAACAACACATACAACTCTGCCACTGGCACGTAATTGTTCATATTTAATAGTAAGCCCTTTAATGTTATACATAAGGAAATGATTTATAATGAAGAAAATATGCAATTTTATGACAACATTCAATAGTATTAGTTCATATTCATTGTGAAGAAAGCTGGTTCCATCTTCTGATGTCTCTTAATTTTTCATTAGCATCTAGCACAGATTGCACCAGAGCTATTCTATAATTATTGTTTACAACTTGAATTATACTGATTGAGATTCTATATGATATTGAAGAAAGGCCTATAATTTCAGTACTAAGACTTCATAGTTTAAAAAGTAAATAGATAAACAATATTATCTATAGAAAAACTAATAAATATCATAATTGAAAATATTGATAGCAACATTTTAAACTGGACCATTAAGTAATTCCTGAGCATCCATCAATTCAATCTGCAGACATTTTCCATTTTCTACTCAGTCTTATTTCCTGTGTACTTCCATATAGCCCTATGAGCATTGTAAAATGCATTCTTCTGCTCGTGTCTGGTATTCTTAATTTCCTCACTGCTTTCACTGTTTGAAACACAGTAAAACTGATTTACTATAACAATTACTTCAAAATATGTCAGTGAATCCAATACACTCAAAACGAAGAGAGATTCTCATATTACTTCAAAATGTGTGTACAGTACAGAGAGGATGCTTACGGTGTTTCCAATGTAATGTGCAAAAAGAATCTTGCAAGGACAATCAGCAGAAGATAATTACAAAAAGAGATTATGCATAAATGGCACTCCAGTTGTTTTCATGACTTTCTTTCTTTAGTTGTTGTGGTTTTTTTGGGCTCCTTGACCATGTTCTGAAGGTTGTTCTTCCTAACGTTTCGCCAGTCTCTCTGGCTGGCATCTTCAGAGGTCAGGAGCTAGAATTCTGTCTGTGTTCTATCAGTGAGAACACAGACAGAATTCTAGCCCCTGTCCTCTGAAGGCTAAACAGCCCGAAAAACCCACAACAACCATTGGATTCTGGCCGTGAAAGCCTCCGAGTACACATTATAGGGAAGTGTTACTGCAGAAGGCACATTATAATAAGGATCATACCTAAAAGTGTAAGAATGTCTCCACACACCTGGCAATATTACAGACCTTTGTCTGAAGAGGTGTCAGTAAAAGCATTAGACTGAACATGTGTAAAGAGATCATGTGTTTTGGAATTCTGCCTTATCAGTGTTCCTTCTCATGCTGCTCCATAAACATGTTTAGCTGAACACACTTATGGAGTCCTCATCAGGCCTTTGCATTCAGTGTATGAAGGCTTCTCACACTTCCCATAGGTAAGGTATACTCAGGAGTGGGGCTTATGTCCCTGTTCACACCTGCACCACAAATTTAGCACTACATATGAGCAAGTGAATGCCTGCATAGGACTTCTGCGTTCATAGCATGGATGCACTACCAACCTCTGCCCACCAACACCATCCATAGTTCTGGAACTTTTGACACTCTGCCAAGGTATCACAGATCTGGTGCTATGAGCTGGCACCCACAACATAAGGTGAAAACATGGAATCCATACAGTTCCATACATACAAGTCCCCCAGTTAACTTCATTTAATCAAAACTAATATGATTTCAGCATGCCTGAATTTGGCTAGATTCTGTTCTTAATGAGTGATGAAACTCCACCT